GTGCAATGCTGACTTGTGCTGTGGGGATGGGAAGGCACAAAGACAAGTGGTTGGATTAAAAGAAACGATAAAAATTCCTGTAGCTTCACACACAGAGGGCTGGCCTGTAATTCCTGGCTGTCTGTCTCTCCCCTCACCCTAAAAGCCAGTTGTGGTATTCACTGATGACATGGTGTTTATCTGCTTAGATCAAACTGCTAATGGTTGGATGGCACCTGAAGTAGGTTGTATTTATAGGCAAACCTGACCACAAGCTACATCTCCACCTTCCTACCAGCTGCTGAACACTGACCCCAGTAAGTGATGGCCCCATTTGCTGTAGGTGTGTGCATTTATCTCCTTTATTTCAGGTGATCTGTAATGGCTGGACTCACACTCCGTAGTGCTGCTGCCAAAATCACCCTCTGTGAATCAAGTGTTGTACAGTAATTTTCAGCCATCAGTGCTTTAGGAAGAGCTAAATTATGTGTGGTGGCAAAACACAACCCCTACCTCTCTCAGGTTGGGCTAGAAATAGGCTCCTTGTCTGAGTGGAGGAGAGTAGGGGAAGAGGGGGGAAAACCCACCATTTACCCTCAAGGGAAAGGATGGCTGCTCCAGTTTACAAACTGGATACAGTCTGCAGGTACTGCTCAAACTGGAGCAGGCAGCACTTGTCCAGGAAAGGGGATTTCCAAGTTCTTGTTGGTAATCCAGTAACAGGGTGGAATCAGCTGATGTGCTCCACACTAGAAGGATTTGAAGGTCCGGAGGGTATAAAGCAAGTGTCCTGTGTCTGCTTTTTTCTCCTCATCCCCTTCCTTTCTCTTCCCACAGGTGAGCAGTGGGAGAGTCTCAGAGCTATGCCAGGAGTCCTGCAGGGAAGGCGTGTCCATATGACAGACACTCAGTGTTCCCACCCTCACCCTCTGGTCAGCAGTGGAAATACTTTGAAAATAACTTCTAGGGGTAAATTAGAATTTTAAGCAGGGAGCACACATCGTCTCTGTGGGGATGTGCTCAAGCAGGCACCTCAGCTGTTGCTGAGCCCTGAACATGCCTGACATGATAGGGGACAGTCCCTGTTGGGTCTGAATGATACAGAGAATTTTGTGTTTCTTTTCTCACTGAGCAGTATTGGAGGGTACTGAAGCAGAGCCCTGGGGTGAGGGCAGCTCCCAAGAGGTTCTTGCTGGGAGCAAGAAGCTGCTGTGGGGTGAGCAGGGAGAGGCTGTGAGGAGGAAAGGACAAACGCAGGCTGGAGGGGCCTGACTCACAGCAACCAGATTGAGCCACGGCCTGCTGCTAATTTGGTAAATAGTTCAAATTATGCACTTGCAGCTCCGATGAAGACAGTGACTGGAAGGATTAACATCATTGTCTTTTCAGCCCTGGGATACTGGTCTGCATCCAACTTTGTCATTTTGATGAGAAGAGCGGAGTGTAAGACGTGGTGTTAGTGATCCTGCAATTGGCAGGATGTCCTTCCATGAGCGCACGTTGCTGTTCTGACTCACCAGTTACGATTCAGACCTGCTAAATACTCCTGACTTCATTTTCTTGTGAAGGTCAAGCCCAAAACTGTCTTTTGAGACTACTGGATGTTTCATTGAGGAAAGGACAGGTCAGGAAGATGGTCTTTGATTTGAGCATTCCAAGAACTCAGAGGTGTTTGGCTCTGAGGCTGCTTGAAACAGCTAGAGAGGATGGGCCACCACAAGCTTGCTTAAAGTTAATCAGAAATGTTTTTACCTGAAGTGGAGAAACTTGGAATGTTGATGCTGGTCAAAATACTCCCCCCGCCCCCAAAAAAAGTAAATCTAATTTTACTGTGTCAATGTTGTTTCCATTTGTTGGAGCTTCAAGAAAGAGCTATTTTTAGCTGCTCTTTGGTTTATTTTTGTTATTGCTATTTGTTTTGAGTTTGTTTGTTTGTTTTTTTCCCCCAAAAAAACCTGTTAACATTTTACATTTGGTGAAATCCCATTCCCTTGGGCATGAATAATCTCAGCAATGGTTTTGGCAAGGTAACTATTACAGGCGACTCAGAAAAACTTCGGGAGTTTTGTTCCTTTTTGAGCGAAACCTGTCAACTCTAAAAGCCCTGAGGTGTCTGAACTGAGATGGGTGGCAGCCTTGTTAATCCTGTGCTGTGTTGAGCTTTAGCAAAGGGATGGGTTGTCCTCTCCAGTTTGTCCTTGCTTCGCTCTGGACACTTGGCACGTTGAAGATGTGGCTGTGACTGATGAATGTGCTGGGTTGAGAGATGCAGACAAGTTCTCCACAGAGAAACTGGGATGTTCTGGGATGAAATCCTCTGCTCTGCAGCGTGTTGATGGCTGTTGTGTTAATGCCATGCCAAGCATGGATGGCTGCTGTTCCCACCTGGGTTGTGGAGGGTGGTATCCAAGCCAGGCGTGGGCAGGAGGGATGGCTGTGAGCTCCCAGGAGTTATGCCCTGCCATTGCTAACCTCCCTGCCCTTCTCTGGCTGCCTTGTATCCTCTCCCAGGGTGATACCTCTGATTTATTGAAGGGTCTGATAGAAGCAAACGTTCTGTTCTGATGAGTCCGTTGCACACACAGCCTGCCAGCTGGCTTCTTCCAAAAAGCATCATTTATTTTAGGGGCATTAGCAGATTATCAGGGGTGGGTAAATATGCACGTCTGAGTCGGATGAATTTTCTAGGCTCTCCATCCATCAGAGTTTCTGCCTGCCTGCCAAAGGATGGGAAGCTCAGCAAGAGGATTCAGGGCTGGCATGTGAGTGTGACAGGCTGATATTGGCTCTGTGGGGAGCCCAGGCTGTCACAGAGCAGACGTGTCTGTCCTGGCTTGGGGTGGAACGCGTTGCTGTATGGCAGGGGTGTGTTTTATGGAGGGGGTGGCAGAATAATTAATGCTTGCCAGAGAAAATAGAAGGCATTGCTCTGGAAGCAGGGAATCACGTGGCTGTTTGGGGGAGTGCTGGACCTGATCTGCACTTAGAGCTTTCACTGATGTGGGACTTTCAGATGGGAGTGTGACCTGCCCTCTTAACTGCACAGTTTTGGTGTTTGGCATAATTAGATAATGTGTTTATCAGGTCAGTAGGGGTAGGTTCTTACTCTCCTCTTTGGAAACAGCTTCCTCAAATAGCAGTGATGAGGACATAACTGAGTGGTCCTTTGTGTGGGCAGAGGAGTGTGACATTTTGCCCCCCCCCAGCAGATGCCCAAGTCACACTGATGGAAGGACTCATAAGGTTTTTAAGGTTTACATGAGACTCTGGGGATCATCTGGCTTGGTAAAGGAAATGTGACTCAACATGTGGAATTAAGACTCAACGAAAATAAAATTGAGGGGGCACGCCAGCAATGGTAGGTTCTTATAAATGACATTAAGATTAATGACACCTATATTGAGTTCAACTTGCAGCTAAAGAAATGTATTAGGGTGGCATTAAATCGTTGCATTAATATTAAGGGGCTAAATCTGTATAAACTCAAGGCAATCAAAAGACTGGCATTTGACTGTGAGTGATAGGTAAGGAATTCCACTGCTCAAATCAGTAACTTGCCAAGTACCTAATGCTGACATTGAATCAACTTTTTCCTCCTGGGCACAGTGTAGGACCAGAAAGCTTTCTTGTGATCCTTTTCCTGCTGGCAAATATTTTCCTCTGTCATGTAGCAAAGAGAACAACATCACCAAGGGTTTCTTTGTTCCACAAGCAGCAGCATTCTGAATCTCTAGGGAGAGAAATTCCAGAAGACTAACTCAATCTGCACTCTGCAGCCTCTCAGGACTTGAGGTAGGACCCAGACTTCAGAGCTGTGCTGATTAGTCCATTAAGGTGCAGTTATTTTTAGTCTGGGAAAACTCTTTTCCCTTTGCATAAGCAATTTTTAGGGATTCACAGCTGGTAAATCTAACAACCCTACCCTGGGATAAACGAAGCTGGAGATTTCTGCATTCGACTATCACTGTTTTCTGTAGGAGAATATTACTCTGTTGATACCTGTTTATGTTAAATTTGATATTAAGAAAATTACTAACTGCAAGTCATTCAGGATGAAGTGGCAAATAGAATTTTAAATGTATTTTTAAACTTTCTTCCTTGAACCTTGGCTCTAGCAGAGATGGGCTAAAAACAGTTTAGATCATATGCTGATTTACTAGAAGTATGAACTTTTAGAACCACCCTCCTACTTCTTCCATCTTCTTTTTCCCATCCCAAATGTCTAAGTAGGGGTGTTTAGTGCAGAGGCAGCTGCTGCTCAGTGCCATGTGCTGTCAGAGCAGTGATCAAAACACAGCTCCAAAGGTTCCTGACTTTATGCCCTTCTCGAATCTACTCAGCTGGAAACTTTATTTATACATATGGGAGGAAAAGGTGTGATTTATTCTTATTTCTTCATGGATGGGGAAAAAAACCTGTGCTGGAGGAAGTCTGGCAGGGAGCTGAGCCCCTCTCCCATGCCTCTTGCTGGGAATTGCTATAGGAAGTGCAGGTAAAAGTGGAGGCTTTTTCTGTGTAAAACACAGAGCAGTTCCCTACATCCTTGGCAAGCTAAAGGAGCAATGAGTGCCTTCCTGGCTCAGCTGTCCCTTTGGTGTCCTGTCCCAGCAGTGCCCAGAACTGGCACCTGGAAGAGCACAGGGCTGAAAACCTGTCAGTGCAGATCGTGGTTCTTCACACAAGGCAGGTATGAGCGGTGCCTGCAGGGCTTAAACTCCTTCCTGGCCTCACAAGTAACTTGCTGCAATTAGTTGACGCCTCGAAATATGTTTTCATTCTATTTACTCTGACATCTTCCAGGCAGGCAGTCCCAGAAGTGGGAGCTCATCAATTTGCTTGTAGTTATTGGAGAGACAAGTTTAGTGCTGGGAGAACTCGGTATTGAGAACTACCTGCTGCTTTCATTAGATTTGAAACAGAGGACGCTGATATCCTGCCCTCCTTTCTCCATACTTGTCCCAACTTCAGTCCCCTCATGTCACTGCTGCCACCTCTAATCCTCAACCCCTTCTCTCCCACAGGTTGGCGGGACAAAGACGGGCGTCGTTCGCTACGTGGGAGAGACGGACTTTGCCAAGGGAGAGTGGTGTGGTGTGGAGCTGGACGAGCCCCTGGGCAAGAACGACGGGGCAGTTGCTGGTACAAGGTACTGTGTGCTCTGATCCCCAGCCTGGGCCGTGGAGGGTCCCACACACCTCCTGGGGGGGGGCTGGGAACAAGTGCCACCGGACCTGGGAGGAGAGCTAGGGCTGTGCTTGCCTGGACATCGTGGGCTGACAGGAAGAGGTCCAGTTTTGAGCCTTTTAGGCTTTGGGGTGGCCTTGCAGGGAGATCAGTACAAACTTCATTTACTGGGGCATTTTAAAGCATAATCAGATAACATCTGCGAAGAAGGAACCTGAGTAGCTTCAGGAAACAGGAGAGAGTAGGGAGAGAAGATAACTTACAGTGGGATTTAGTTTTTGCTAGCAGTTGGTTCTGTGATTACATTAGCTCTGCTTTCTCCCACACATGTCCTCCCATAAACTTTTTGCTTGTGCTATATTTATAATTCACCCTGTCAGAACTATAGAAGACACAGAATTGACTCTTTTTTTCTCCTCAGCTTAATATTGTTTTATTCTGTTCTTTCAGGGCACAAATTCCAGAGATCTGAAAGAACAATTGGTAGTTGTTTTCTGTCCTTGTGCTAATTCTACAACGTGACAGTTGTTTGCTGATTGATCTTAACCACCTCTGACTCCACAGGCACCTCCACTATCTTCTTTTCCCAAAAAACCCTTTTCAGTACCTATAAAATTAGTTAGGGATATCTTGCAGACTTTTTGGGAAGCTGTTTCTGTTCCTGTCGAATTTAGTTAAGGGGATGACCCCAGCCTCAGATCTGGAGCTTGAGGATGTTCAAATATGACTTATGCAGCAGCACTTTGACCCTGCTTCAAATACAGGTGGAACTGATTCCTTGTCCTTCACAAGTTCCTCCAGTGGGAAATATTGTTGGTTTTCTTGGAGCTTCTTTAGGCAATCTGGCTACAGAGGAGAGATTGAACTTTAAAACTGAGGAGCTGTGAGTTCCTGCCTTGTTACATCTCAGATTCTCTAATAAAGGTTTCTTGTGTCCTGTCCAGCAGCCACGTGCTTTCATTTTAATTAAGAGAAATGCTGCCTTGTTCGATGTCAGGACAAGAAAGCAGTAAATGATTGGCAGCAGATGGCAGAGTTCCAGCCTGTTCTCAAGAGGGAAGAACCAGGATGGTAGAGAATAAATCATGGAGTGAATCCAAGTCCATGCTTTCTTTATCAGATGCTTCAAATTATCTCTCAAGTTTAATCTTCAGGGTGCTCAGAAATGGTTTATTGTCTCTGTGCATGTGAAAGGTGTGAAAGGCAGATCTTAGTGCAGGGGTGCTCTCCCTCCCTCTCATCCTCACACCCTTGTTGCTGTGGTTTGAAAATTCAACTTTTGGAAGTAATTTGTCTTCTGAAACTGCAGCATCTTAGCTCAGGTTGTTTTGGAATGTGCCCTGTCTGCAAAGGCTTCTCCTTTCCCTCACACTATTAAATGAGCAGGTTTGCAGCATTGCCCCTGTTTGTCCTTTGAGCCTTCATCCACGCCTCTGATTTTCTTACAGCGGTGCTTTGGAGAAGCCAGCATGGTTAAAACCAACTCCCTTGGTGCCTGCAGGCACTCCTCACTCAGTATTCCCCATGGTTGCTGTGGCCACGTGGAATTCTTGACACTGCCCTGAGCTTGTCCTGCCAGAATCAGCGTGGGCAGAGGCTGTCCAGGACCCTGGAGTCAGTGCTTTGGAGGTGGTTGCCATCTAGTGAGCAACCCTGGCCTGTCTGCTGCGGCAGCAGCTGCTAAAGGAGAGTGGAGCTCTCAAAGAGCTGACTGGAGATGCTGGAAAGAGGTGGAAGCAGGAGAGGAACGTGGAGCAAAGGACATTGTCACCATCTTTGCTGCCATGGGCAAGTCCAGTTGAGTCGGTGGTGAATTGGCTGAAATTTGCGGCAGGTCACTTGATTTCCCTGCAGGTCCAGGTCTGGATGTGCACCAAGGCAAGGCTGAAGGGAGCTGGAGGCTGCCTGCAGGCTGGGGAGATCAGTAGCAGTGCCCCAGAGGACAGGGCATCACCGTGGGGAGCCCCTCTGTACATCACATGGGTGCTGATTGGCACTGAGGTTTGCTGCTTCTGCTTTCCTGTCTGCACAGGAGACTTCTTATCCACAAAACCGAGCAAGTTCCATGTGCTCATCTTTGGTATATTATCCTTTGCCTGCTTATTTTGCTGTTCTTCCTGCTCTGCCTCTGCTCTCCTGGGAGTCTTTGCCCACTAAACTGCTCAGACTGTTGTTTTTGTGTAGCCTGTGACATGTCATCCTTGGACACTGAAGATTTTGTTCATCTATTTCAAAACTTCCCGTGCTGTTTCCCACCTGCAGTTTTGCACTGCCATCACAACACCACTTTTCTTCCCTCTTTCCTCTCTGTAATGCGAAGCTGGAGTTCCTCAGCACTTAGTTTTCAAGTAGATTTTTTTTTTTTTTTCCTCTCCCCTGCCCAGTGGTCTGGACCCAATTCCTGCTTCTGAACTATAAAAGTTGATTGCAACCAGTCCCAATCTGGACTGAAAGAAAGTGAGCAGACTTAGTGAAGCAAGTTTGGGCTTGCAAAGAGCTGTCAGGGGGCTTTTGAGGGCATTAGCATTTGACACTGTTGTGCAGCACCAGCGTGTGCTTCCACCAGACAGACCTGTGGAAGGGGCTGTTGCCTGCCTGTGCTTACTGGAGTTTGGGAATATGATGCTGAGCAGGGCTTGGCTGGTTTGTAAGAGGTCAGCCTGTGGTATGGCTGGTTTTCCAAACCCAAGGGCCTGTGTTGGCAGCAAGCTGAGGAGGCTGAGAGATTTGGGGTTGTGGAAGGGTTGTTTAAAGTTTGGTATAGAAAAAAAAAAGGGTTTGAACAGATGTTTGAAAATGAATTTTATTTTCATCTGGCTGGAGATCAGGCTGTTCCCTGGCCTCCCAAGCACACAGGGGTCTGCCTGAGACAGAGCTGTATGGCTGCCAGCACTTAAAAATAAAAGGGAACTGGAGAAACAGCTGCTCACATCTGGAGAGGGAGGACTTGTGCTAGTAAAGCTGGATTTGTGTCATTTAGTCATTAGAACCTGTTTTTTATGTTAACATAGGACAAGCTGTTTTATGACCCGGTGTTTAGTCCTAGCCTTGCTGTGAAACCTGTGAGAAAGAGCTCTTACAGGAGACAGCTTTCTGTGTTGGCTGCTCCCCTGGAACAAGGGGATGCAATGCTGGAGATGATCTGGTTTTCCTTGCTGCAGTGCAGGTGGCCAGCAACAGATGAACTCTGGCTCTTTCCAGCCAGCCTAAGCCCTGAAGGGATTTCCAGGGTTTGACACTCCATTTTGGCTCATTTTTATTCTGGAAGAGGGTTTTGGAGAGACACAAACATTGGGCTCACTGCAGTTGTGGAAGAGAGTTATCTGATTCTTCCTCTTCTATGCTTGCATCTTTCTAAGTTTGTTTGTATGGGAACCAGTTTCTCTGCCACCCAGAGGAGGTGGCACACACTGGAGTTTGCTGTAATGGTATTTTTAGCTTCAAAGTTAGGAGCTGCCATTTTCCCCTTCTGTTTTGGTAGGGAAGTTTTTTTACCTTGTATGACATTTATTCAGTGCTGTGTGATTCAGACTCTTTAATTCAACACAGAATGCCAGAATGGTTCAGGTTGGAAGGGACCACAGTGGATTATCTGAACAGGGTCATCCCAGAGCACAGGGCACAGGATTGTGTCCAGAGGGCTCTGGAATATCCCCAGGGAGGAGACTCCAGCCCCTCCCTGGGCAGCCTGTTCAGAGCTGGGTCACTGCCCAGGGAAGAAGTTCTTCCTCCTGTCCAGCTGGAGCTTCCTGGGCATCAGTTCCTGCCCGTTCCTCTTGTGCCATTGCTGGCCCCCCCTGAGCAGAGCCTGGTCCATCCTCTGCCCCCTCCTTTCAGACACACTTTACTACCTTTCTTCAAAGCAGAGTAGAGAGAACACGCAGGTTTTGGGGAGGGTTGGTTTGTTGGGAAGGTTGGGTTGTAAGGAAGCAGCACTCTGGCTCTGCTTATGTTCTGGGATGCTTGTGCTCTCCAGGCTACCAGATGGGTCTTTCCTGGCATCTGATCAAAGTGCACAGCAATTAGTGCGTTGCAGTTATCTCAGGATTGCCTGCTAAAGCGCACCACAAATGAAAACAAGGAGATTGCCAGTACTACAAGTGCGGGAAAGGGGAATAATCCAACCACTTGCACACAGGAAACAATGTCACAGCAAAGCACCCAGAGACGAGCTGAGGGTTTTGTTCTGCTTGGCAAGGCCATTCTGCAAGGCTTGGGCGAGATGGATGCTCTGCCGCTTCTGACTTGGTGCACCTCCTGTATTCCAGGTACTTTCAGTGCCCTCCCAAGTTTGGCCTCTTTGCTCCCATCCACAAGGTGATCCGGATCGGGTTCCCATCAACCAGCCCTGCCAAGGCGAAGAAGAGCAAGAGGATGGCCATGGGAGTGTCAGCCCTGACCCACAGCCCCAGCAGCTCCTCCATCAGCTCCGTCAGCTCCGTGGCCTCGTCGGTCGGGGGCAGGCCCAGCCGCAGTGGGCTGGTAAGTGGCTCCTTCCATGGACTGAGCAGCCTCGATCCACCTCTGTGAACCAGGCTCCACAGAGCAGTCAGGGTTTTCTTTCAGCAGCTCCTCCTTCGGTGGGGTGAGGGGAGTGAAGTGTGGGATGTTGCAAACATCCCTTGCAAACAATCTCCCTCCGTGGACACAAGAGTTGTGACAGACACGGAGCGACTGTGACTGTTAAAGAGCCTGAAGTGTGATTTGCAATGTGGTCAGTCTGGGCTCTGCTGTCAAGAGCAGGTTTATAAGGAATCCCTGCAGAAAAAGGCCGCTGGGTCCCACAGGGTTGTGAGCAGTGCACTCTGCACTGACCAGCTGTGCAAAGCTCCTGCAGTGACTGGAGGGTGACACTGTCCTGGATCACATGCCCTGGGCTTTGGCAGGTGCTCAAGCAGGGGGACAGCAGAGCAGGCAGCAATATTATTAAAAGCTCTGGCTCTGTCACAGTGTGTGCTGCAGAGCACCTGCAGTCCACTTGGCTGGGGACGAGGGTGCAGTGTCACTCTGGGGAGAGGATCTGGTTTCCAATTGAGATTACAACTGAGCTCACTTTTTGGGACTTCACCAGGGCAGATCATCAGTAAAATGTATTTAAGAAGGCAGATGATGCAGTGCATGATAATCTTTCCTGACCCAATTCACATCCAACATCCTGTACTTTTGGAAATGGTCCTTTCATTGCAGTGCAGAGGAAGTGCTGAGCTTTTGTGAGCATTGTCCAGGTGGTTCACAGACTTAACCTCACCTGTGTGGTCCAGAGCTGTAGCTGCAGCTCTGTACAGATGAATAATCATTAGGTGAGCAGATTTAACAGGGGACTCCAGCTGTTCTGGACTGGGGAGGACATGGCTTTACCCTGTCTCTTTTTAACTCTTTTTTTCCAGCTGACAGAGACCTCTTCTCGATATGCCCGAAAAATCTCTGGCACCACAGCTCTGCAGGAGGCACTGAAGGAGAAGCAGCAGCACATTGAACAGCTGCTGGCAGAGCGTGACCTGGAGCGGGCGGAGGTGGCCAAAGCCACCAGCCACATCTGTGAGGTGGAGAAGGAGATTGCCATCATGAAGGCCCAGCACGAGCAGGTAGGAGGTGGTGTGGCTCTATCACCAGCTCTCAAATACCTGTATTTGAGTATTTGATATCCCCTGAAAGTTTCAGTTCGTAACGTTACCCCTGTACGTGAAACTTGGGCTCTGAATTTCCACCTTTTATGTGGTGAGTTAAGCTGAGGCTCTTTCTCCACTCTCCCAGTGTCACGTGTGCTCTCTCTGCCCCGAGCCAGGAGCAGGAAAAGGGCCATACCAGATAAAAGGCAGTAGAATAGTTTGTGTCTGGTGGATCAATATGTTTCAGTGCTGAAATGCAAGTGGAGAGTAAATTTGTTCCCCTCAGCTACCCTTGTTTGGCCGTGGCTGTGACTGCATTGCAGTGATTTTGTGGTGCTGAGAACATCAGCTCAGTTCATGTGCCACAGCTTTCCTGCCAGAGAGAATGTTTCTATCCCATCAATAAAGTCAGGAGACCTGGAAGGAAAACAAGCTGAGCATATTAGGTTGCATGTGCAGTTGTACAAAGGGTATTTTATTCACTTTGAAGGCTTAAAGAGAGGAGTTGCCCTTGTGCTATTTGTCAGTGTGGCTCTTCAGTGACTGCTGGTGTCCTAAATGACTTCCTTATGCTTGTAAAGCCCAGTCAGCTATCTAGGAGCAGGGATGGTACTGTATTTGTGTGGTGGGTCACACCTGCTTGTCTAAAATGCAGAAGTTTGGAAGTCAACCTCAAGCTGATGGCTTTCTTCTGCGTAGTGTTTTCCAGTAATTATCAGTAACAAATGAATTAACAGCAGTCTGAAATGTTTCTTATTTCATGACCAGGTAACTTCTGACTAGATTTTCAAAACTGCTCAGGCTTCAAGTTCTTAACTCTAATCAGAGCTGGATTCTTCAGAGGGACACTGAAGCATGGACCAAACTTAGAGCTGCTGGAGACTGAGCAGTTTTTGTCTTCCTGATACCCACATCTTGGTCTCTCTGGAAAATCTACCCTTTTACCACAGCATCCTTTGAAACAGATCATCAAAACTTTCTGTTCCCTTGTCCTGATCCTTTTTTTTAAACAACCCTGTACTTCAAACATGGGTAACTTTTGTGCTTGGGCTGTTTTTTTGCTGCAGTATGTCACAGAGGCAGAGGGAAACCTCCAGCGGGCACGAGCCTTGGTGGATGGGATGCAGAAGGAGAAGATTGAGCTGCTGAACCAGCTGGAAGAGGAGAAGAGGTGAAGCAGGAGTGGTGAGGGAGGTGGAATGGTGTATGGGCAGTGACAAAGGTTTCAGGTGGTTTTGGCTGAGGATACAGTGTAAAATAAGTGTGGGATCATGAACAGGCCTGTGCAGGCTGGGCCATCACAGACCCTTCTGTACAACCTGGCTTTGCTAAAGGCCCCTTCTTCCCCCTTTGTTTGTGATGTGCTGATCCTGAGGACATTCCTTATGAGGAAGGGAAGCCAAACTGGAGGTTCAGCCTTCCTGTGGTGTGATTCACCCTCTTCCCACATCCCAGAGGCTCCATCCATGTGTATATGATGATGCATACATTTCCTCTCTGGATAAGAGTGAAGATCTGCTTGTCCTTGTATATATAGAATCCAACTTCTCCATCTATATAGTTAAATGCTTCAGTGGGAATAGAAAGACATTTCTGTGTATTAAATAACTGAAAACAGTGTTGATTTCAATTGACTGATGCCCCTCCTGAGGATGAATTGTTCTTTTGTGCATAAGTCTCCCTGTTCTTCTGCTAGGCAGCTCGCTTTCCCAGCTCCAGGAGGCCCTTTAACCCAAGACAGCTGAGTTTTTCCCTAAATATCAACAGATGCCTCCTCTAATTAGGAGGTTTAGACAAGGAAGCTTGTTTATGAAGTCAGATATGTACACTCACAGCTATTTTTATCTGTAACGGAATCAGAGTCCTTACATCTGGCTACCAGCTCAACATCCTCATAATTGCCTATTTTCTTTTAAATCAGTAAAGAGAACAAAGAGGGCTGAGTTTAGCAGAAAATTGAATTATTCTGTATTGTTACTGCATTCTCTCTTCCAAAAGAGAGGAGTCCTCGGCATGTCTGTGTTTGTGCTTGTGGTTTTATGTGCATTTATCCATGACTGGGCTGTACAATGTGTGGGGAAGGCTTTCCTGCTAGGGTAACTCACAGTTTCCACTTTGTGGAAACATAAAGCATTGCCCACGCTCTGCCAAGGAGGTTCCAATTCCCTTGGAATACTTTGTATGGACCCCGTGCATTTGGCACAGGAATTGCCCAGTGCTCAGCTGCAGGATAACCAGGTTTAAAGAAAGCAAGTGAAACTTGCTTGTGGTTTGCGTGTTTTCAGGATCCCAGTGTCAGAGAGCAGTAGTTGAGTGTGTCTGGGAGGATGTACCTTGCAAGAAGGCCATGTTTGCTGTGTGGAAAGTTTGTCCTGCTCCTTGGATCTTGCTGCTCAGTTTCTGCTGAGCTGTTTGTATCCAAAGGTGATCTGTCTCAGATTTGGTTCTGCAGACCATGATGTGATTTTTAACATTGGTTTATTTTCTTTTTCCTAGAACACAAAAAATCTTACCGGTAGCTTTTGGGCAGCTTTTCCATTTGTTTGTAATGATCTCTCCATTGATGCTGTGTCCCACTAATCCATAAAACTTGACTGAGGGTCATAGTGTGTGTGGCTGCTTAGACAGAGGGTGCTGGTCTGGGTGTTCCTGATTGCTCTTTGTGTCTCTTCCTCTCCCCAGAAAAGTGGAGGACTTGCAGTTCCGTGTGGAGGAAGAATCCATTACAAAAGGGGATCTGGAGGTAATTCCTAATGATGTTACCAAATTATGGGGTCAGAACCTGAAATTGCATGTGGGGTCTCCCTTGAGTAACCTCTGCCACCTTTTGCTCCACTCTAAACAATACTTTACCTTTAAGGATGGCTTTGTACCTGCTGTGAACACCAGGGTGTAAACTGTGAGGGTTGTTCTTTGGTGTGTTGCCCAATGACTGCTCACACTGGGAGCTGTCTGGAATTAACCTGCCACCCTGAGTTGCCAGCTCATGTTAAAATCTTTATCTGAATGCGTTGCAACGTGTTTTTCCCATCCTAGAAACGAATTGACTGCTCAGTCTCTATCCCTGCAGAGTCCTGCTCTTAGCAGCTGGTGGGGCACTCATGATCTTCAGGTTGGATGATATTTAACTCCAGATGAAATGCTGTGTGTCTTGAGGAATCCTTGTGTGGAGTCCCCTTCCCACAGGCGTGGGGTTGGACACCAGGGCTGGCACCCTGTCACTGGGGAGGGCTGTTGCAGTGAGCGTTGTGCAAGCTGGAAGTGATGTTGGGAGCTTGCCCTTGAGTGGGAGACTTTTCCAGGAGTGGGGGAAAAGAAAAGAAGATCTCTCTGTGGAAGCAAAGCTCTGCTCTCCACGTGTAAATCCAAGAGGGTTTCCCTTCTCTTTAGCCAGAGTGCCAGGTTAGTAACAACCAGGAATGTCAAGGGCCCTGTGCCTGTTATTTGCTGTCAGTCATAGCAGTAGAAGCCCAGGGAAATGGGAAAATGGATATGTTGCTGTGGTTGTGACCCTCTTGGCACAAACCTCTCCTCTTCATCCAGAAGCTGAAGGAGCTGTTTGACAGGGTGTAAATCAGCACTGCACTGATAGCAGACCTTTGCTAAAGAACAGCAGGTGCAGTTTCTGCCTGGTCTATGGGTGCAAAATCAGGTTTCCATTGATCCTTGAGCTGACAGGCTCCCCCAGTGCTTTAGAGAAAGGTGGTTGATCCATCCATCATTCCCTTTGAGAGCAGTGATTTGTCCCTGTGTAAGCTCCCAAGTGTTTAAGCCTGGCTATAAAACTGGCAATAGGACCAGGGTTAACCACCAGGTATATTTGGATTTTTTCTTTTTTTTTTTTTTTTTAAACCACCAGCAAGATGATAAGCTGGTGTGACATATCCTCAGATTGGGACCTGCAGTCATAGATCTGATTTTCCTGGGTGGGAAAGAATTGTTTTTGCCGTGGGAATGTGGCCAAGCTTCCAGCCATTATGGTCCTGTCCTCACTTCCATGTTTGCATGAAAGAACAAATAGCTTAGGAAAGCTTGATTTCCTGTGATCCAGGGAACTGGGGTGTTCTCCATGAGTCCAACATCAGTGCCAGCACAGGCATTGGCAGAGGGCTTGGCTGGGGTCAGTTTTTACATCCTATCCTGTCTAATTTGAACACTCATACTAAATGAGTGACCCCCTGAAGAGAAATCTCACCTTCTGCTTTGTTGTGGAGGCAGTTAGGATTTCCAGAAGTAAATGATTAACTCTGAGGGGAAAAAAAAACCTCCACGCCTCTTATTGGAAATCAGGAGGGCAAGTGCTCCTTCACGCTGCAGTGTGATTCCTGGGAAATGCCCGTTCCTGATATCCTTTGTGTAAAATCATAGCAAAGTCAAGCAGTGGCAGCTCTTCCAAATATTCAGAGGGGAATGTTTATCTTGACTTAACAGACAGTAACAGAACAGATTCTCTCTCTGTGGTCCCAGGATCCAGGGTTTCTGCTGAAGGCTTGGATAAATCCCTGGATCCAGGGTTTCTGCTGAAGGCTTGGCTGAATCCCTGCTGTTTGTCCCAATAGTGTGTAGGTTTTGAACAAATTCAGGGCCCTTGGGTGTTGAGCATGGCAGGCAGCGTCCTTGGAAGCTCTTTGACCAAAGAAATCCATCTGTTGGAGGCCTGGAGATACAGATCAAGGTTTTGGACCTCTGATAGAGCAGCTGTGGATTTAGCCTTGAAATGCAGTTATGAATTCAAGCCCTTTTTGATCCAGGCTGGCCATGCTGATGCTGGAGTGCTTTGGAAGGTGAAACACAAATGCAGGAAAAGCTTTCAAGAGCTTTTGGAAGATGAAAAACAAATGCAGGAAAAGCTTTCAGGAAAGGCTTTTTGTGGTGGAAAACCACAGTTTATAGGAGATCAATTCTTCATCAAGGAACTCTGTCATGCTCATCTCCTGGGTCCTGCAGCAGGTCTTGGATGCCTCTGGGAAGTCAGTTTGTAATTTGTGAACAGTAATTTAAGGCTAATAGCTACAAATAGGTCTGAAACTCTATCTGAACTTCCTCAAAGTGCAGGAAAACTTTGGATTTGGGGCTCTGACTCACCCTGGCTAGTGCTGGCAAACCAACTTGCATAAAATAATACAGGATTTGATGCAAATCCAAAAGTTAAAGACTTTTAGATTTGTTAGCTCAACGAAACAGTTGATCTGACTTTCTTCCCTGTTGATTTTTTTTCCTCCTCTATTTTAATAAGTTTTTCTAGACATGGAAAACAGTAGGATTAATAGATACTTAGCAAGAATATCAAGTATGGCTGAGGTAGCTTGGCTGGGAACTTGAGTGTCAGCCTCAGGATTCTGGAGTCTCTTTGGGAGGTCCAGAGATGAGTTTTGTACTAGATCAGCTTTTTCAGGTAGCCAAAGTCTGAGCTGCCACCAGTTAATTCATTGGAGTCCATGGAATATTTATTCCTGTCAGTAAAATCAAGCCTGGGGCCTCTATCTTGAAATGTGGGTCTTTTGAGCTTTGCAGAGAGCAGAATTAATTTTGTTTAATTAAATGTCTTTCTTTTTTCTTATTAGGATGCATTCAGCCAGTTTTTGCACTTAAATGATTATTATTTGGGGGGATTGATATTTGGGTTCTTGAATGCACACATTTTTTCCCCTCCTTCAGGGGTCAAATAGAGCACATGAAATAAAGAGTAGTCTGATTATAGCTGGCAGTTGAGATCTTCACCATCTATGAATACATGTGCAATGATATTTTGCAAACTTAATTTGCCAGCAGTTGTACACAACTAAGAACTGCTTTATAGTAGGGAAGGGCAGAAAATCCTTAATACTTTTTCCAACAAAAAGAAACAATTATATGGAAAATGAAGGGCAGAAAATGGGGGTAAAAAGTGGTTCTGAGCAGGTTTGCTTGCTTTTCGGTAGATTGATTTTTTTTTTTTTTAATTTGGTAGATTAATTTAAAGGAAAATATTGGTTTTGTAAGCTAAAAAAAAAAATGTGAAGGCCAGAGTCTGCATGCATTTCCCCATGTCTTCTCTCCTCTTTTATTTGTGGGGAAATTTTACATGATATTTTCCAGTGGTGGTTGTGGAGTGCTGGGGTTTGTCACCAAGTGCAGCTTTCATCGTACTTCTGTTTTAAAAGTGAAGGGCACTGAAGCAAAGCCCAAAGTCAATGCCCCTGCATTTGGGCAGGTTACATGTGCTTAACCATTTGTCAAAAAACCCCAAATCAAAACAAACAAAAAACCAAAAAACACCCAAAGAAAACAAAACAGCAAGAAAAACAACCAAACAAACCCAAATAGTCATTTTCTTATGCCAGGACAAGTGGAGTCTTGGTGTGCAAGAATCACTTTTTGAGATTCCTGGCTGCCCTATGCAAACCCAAAGCACTGATTTGTAGGACAGTTTGGTATCTCAATCTCTCTGATTTGCTTCAGTGCAGTGTATTTGGAGTTCTACAACACTCCATCAACAGTATGACCTTCTTTTTCTCCCACTTAGCACAGGGGTCGTAGAGTCTCCAGAGCAAAAAGAGGATGGGAACTTCCAACTCTTTTCCCATCTGCCTTGTGATTCTTCTTGAGGAGAGATGTGGAGAGTCATTGCAAGGTCTTTGCATTCTCTGTGTGGTGCAAGGGCCTTGTACTGGTGGGAGCTTTGCTTTTTAGGAGGTGTCTCCAGCTGCTGCAGGAAAACACGGAAGCAGGGTTCTAATGCAGAAGGATGTTTTCCCATCCCAAATCCAGTTTTCCTGTGAATACCCACTACGAGTACCACGTAAAATCCCTTAGGGACCCTTTTCTGTTTGGTTGGATTTTTCCTCCTTGTTTGGATCTTTATTCTCCTCCTGTTGTGAACTGCCTTTCCTTGTCTTGTACGCTGGAGATGATGTTGCAGCCTTCTCTTTCCCTCTCTTTCTCTCTCTCTGTCTCTCTCTCCCTTCCCCCTCCTCCCACCTCCGCTGTTCTCTTCTCCCTCTGTGTGACCAGACTCAGACGCAGTTGGAGCATGCCCGAATACGGGAGCTCGAGCAGAGCCTGCTGTTTGAGAAGGCACAGGCTGAAAAACTCCTCAGAGAATTAGAGGACACCAGGGTAATGGACCCCCACTTGCCCTGCCTGCAGAACAGCGCTTGCCCCTGCGTTGATGCTCATGATGCCTTGCTTTTGGGTTTCTTTCTTTTGGTTTTTATGGGGTTGATTGGTTTTTGGCTTGAACTTGAAGCTTCCCTGATTTTTTTTTTTTTTTGTTTGTTTTGTTTGGTTGGTTTTTATTTGCTCTCTCTCCTGGGAATAGTAGTATGATATGATTTCTAGCTTTGCTTCTCATGTGGGGACTTGTTTCTCAGACTGAGTTTGCTGCTCTGCCCCATGCCACCATCTGAGCTCTCCACAATTCATTTTTCAATTAACATATCCCAATAATATCTGCACCCCGCACAATTCATTCTGCATCGAGGCTGCAGTGGGAAATGACATTGCAATCAGCATTCCCTTTGCTCCCCCTGCCACTTGTGGGAGCTGCCCTCTGCAACAGGAGATACTGGTTAGGGCAGGTGGGCCTGCTCTGATCCTTGGACAGGCTGCCCAGAAGAATCCTAAAAGCAGACAGATCTGGAAAGGGCTTTTTCACGCCGGTGTGGTGTGGGAAGCAGCAAACTTGCTGCCGTGAGCTTGTGTCTCACTGATGGGTTTGAGAGCTGTAGAAAACACAAACTGAGGAACTCCAAAAGGTCTGGATGGTTTGAACCCCACTGTGCCCACCTAAAATAACCACCAGCAGCCTCCTGGGCCGATGGTTGGTGGGGAAACAGCAATTGAAATGGAGTGGAATTCATCGCTTGGGCTTTGGCTCGGTTTCCTTGTTTCTTCTGCTTTTTTCTAATATTTCATCTAGTCAAATCTCTTCTCCATCCACAGCTGCAGCTCCCTGAACTCCCTGTGACTCACAGGTCGTTCAGCCCTGCCAGGTTACCATCAGATCCTAAGATACTGATCCATAGCCCTTCTGCTCAGTGTTCACCGTGGCCAGATTTATTGTCTTGCATCCTCTAGCCTCCTACGTTATTTTGACTTTGCTAATAAACTCTAACAAGTACTCATGTGTAAAAATCCCTTTTCCTTTTTACACCAGGGTAAACAAATTCTGTTACAGCAGAGAGGTCTGTAGGCTGAGGATTGCTGAGCAATAAAGGAAACATGATATGCTTAATGCTGGTTTCGATGCTTGTGACATTCCTGCATGTGCAGTCACATCTCCTCTGTGCATCATCTGGCAGGATGCCTGGTCTGAAAACATAATGCCCTTCCAGGACATTATTTTTCATAAACCGCTGTTGCTCTCTAGCGAATTTCGAGGGTTATTTCCAAGATGCTTTTCTGTGGAAAACGAGAGGTTCGTATTAGAGGAAAACAAATTGGCACAGACATAACTGCGGGTTATTGGCACTGGTTACCCTGGTGCAAAACTGTGCTCAAGCTGGAGGGTGCCGGGTGTTCTTTTGCTGTTTGATTTGAATTTTGACCGATGTACTTTGGATTTACCTCCACTGGAGCACGTTTACTAAACTGGGAAGGATGCGGCGGTGAGGGGCAGGCGCTGACTTTGTGTTCTCTGTTGTGTTGCAGTTAACAACGGTGGCAGAGAAGTCCAGGATCCTGCAACTGGAGGAGGAGCTGAGCCTCAGGCGCAGCGAGGTGGACGAGCTCCGTCAGTGCCTCAGGAGCTCTCACCAAGCAGAGACCCCTGAGCATAACCTGGGCTTGCAGTCGGAGGCTCTTCGGCTGCGGGATCAGCTGCTCTCTGCCAACAAGGAGCATCAGAAGGAGAGCAACCAGCTGAAGGAGAAGTATGAGAAGACGTTAAAGAAGTACCAGCAGGAGATGGAGAAGCTGAAGTCCGTCAATGAGAAGTACTCGCAGGAAATCGTTGACCTAAAGCATAAAGTTCAACAGGCCACGAACGAGAACATGGGGCTCATGGACAACTGGAAGTCCAAGTTGGACACATTGGCTTCTGACCACCAGAAGTCTCTGGAGGACCTGAAAGCCACACTGAACTCAGGCCCTGACAGCCAGCACAAGGAGATCGTGGAGCTGAAGGCGGTGGTAGAGAGCATAAAGATGGAGCACCAGCTTGAGTTGGAGAACCTGAAAGCAAAGCACGACATTGAGACGGCTGTGCACGTAAAGGAGAAAGAGAGCCTCAAACTGAAGTTGCAGGAGGCTTTGGATGAAGTGGAAAAAAGCAACAGCAACTGGAAAATGCAACTGGAAACCAAAAGCAGTCAGCACCTTCTTGAGCTCCAGGATGTGAAGGACAAGTGTCGAGATGCTGAGCTGAGGGTGCACGAACTGGAGAAACTCCATGGTGAATACACAGACCAGACAGAAGCAATAGCTTTCTTGAAAGAGCAGATTTCTTTGGCCGAAAAGAAGATGTTGGACTATGAAACGTTACAGAAAACAGAAGCCCAGAGCAAACAGGAGATCCAAAGATTGCAGGAAAAAGTGCTTGTCTTAGAGAACAAGCTGCAGTCCATGGAGGCCCTGCATCCTTCTCAGCACGCAAATGTATGATTTTGGGGTAGTTTTGCTTGTTAATCATCGCTGTTGGTAACCTCTCCTAGGAGTAGCCCTCAGCTGCTGCCTTGTGCAGTTTTCTGAGGCTCAAATATCTGGATGTTTTTTTCCTTCCACTGACAGCGCTCTTCCTGCAGTGGATCTCCATGCTGAAGGTGCCTTCCCACTCTTGAAATCCAGTGCAGTGGGACAATTAGGAAAAATACGAGTCAGGAGAAGCAAGTGGGGCCACACCTGGGCTTGGAGGCTGCTTTGGCAGCAGAGCAGGGGGTGGTTGTGGTTGGTCAGGGTGGGCTCTCCTCCTGAGCAGGCAGCGTTCTGAGCTGGAAAAGCATCATCCCTGCAGTACAGCTGTGTTCCTCCAAGCAGCTGCAGCAGCCTTGGTGTCCTTTGGGGTGGGTGGAGGGAGAGGGTGGATGAACAGTCACTGCCCATGCTGAGATAGGCCAGCATTGCTTTCTCAGCACCTGGAGCAGGATTTAAGAGGCAATGGGGAGGCTTCACAGCATATTTGGGAGATAAGGAAATGTTGATTTGAGGATTAGAGTGGAATGGCTGCAGGCAGGGGTCAGGATGGCACCAGGCTGGGGAAACAAAATGCCTGATTGAGCCTCCCAGGGAAGGCTGGAATAAGCAGTAATAATTTGAAGAGGTTGGTTTTCTGTGGCCTTTGTCTCTTGGTCATCTTTTTTTTTTAATAGTCTCACATGATGCCATCATCCTGCCTTTGTGCATGGCACAGGGACATGTGGCTGGTTCTGCCCTGGAGTGAGGGGGGAGACTGCTACTCCTGGCTGGAGGCTGGGCCCCTATTTGTGTTTGGATCCTGCATGAAAAACGAGCAAAAAGCCACAATTTACCACTTGGCCCTGAGGGGATGCAGAAAATGAAAATAAGCTGTAAACTGTGCACGTTTTAAGAACACTGTGTTGAAATTTCACTGGTGATGTAGTTGCTGTTCCAGACAGAGTTGCCAGTGAAGTGAATTCAATGCCTGTGTTTAATTTCCCAACGTGAACGGCCCCACTGAAACCAGCTGCGCCTTCAGGTAGCAAAGCCAAGCTCATGAGTTTCTGTTGGCCAAGCCAGAGCTTGCAAAAGGGCACACTGAGGACAGGAGAGGCAAAAGCCAAAGAAAAATCTACAGCATTGATGGTACTTCAGGGGTTGCTCCAGCATGTTTCATCTAGTAAAGACAGTTGGGAACAATAAGTACAGTCAGGGCCCTGGGAAAAGTGGGCTGTTATTACAACATGTCACATGTTATAGCTGATATTCAAACAGGAATGAATGGAAAACAAGAAACTGGAGGCTCCTTCCAGAGCCCTTTAGATAAGTGAGAGGGCTCTGGGGGATATTGATACTGGACTAGAACCAGGGAGTCTTGAATTAATTATTTCAACTGCGTGTCGATTAAAATCAGGAGAATACGGGAAGAAATGCATGGCTGAAAGCCTTTGAGGATCACAGGTCAAGTTCTATTTTAAAATGTCTTAGTTAATTTAAAGTGACTGCAGTATTAACTGTCCAAGTATTTTAAGCAAACATGTCTTGTGACAGTCGTTCCTAGACCTTCAAGTGAGAATCACAACTGTGCTTCCCAAGGGCAGTTAAGTAGTTTTTCCATACCAAAAGTACATCAGGAAATGTGTTTCCCCTTTGGGGGGGCTCCTCCTTCTGTTTGTGTCTTACAGCCCACTCAGACTTTTGGGGACTGACCTCAGGGCTCTCAGTGGTGGCCACAGTGGCCTCGTGTCCTGGACAGCTTGTCCATGAGCTCTGGGGTCTCTGGTTTTCCTTGCAGTATAGAAAAGGGGGAAAGGCAGAATCCTCTATATGGACCAGTGTTTGCTTGTTACTATTACTATTAATGCATTAATTCTCTAATAATTATTATTTTATCAGTGTGTTTATAACTTTGGGCGCAGTTAAGTCCTTCTGAAGCTGAGGAACTCGTTGACTGGTGGGTCTCAAGCTGAGTGCTGGAGAGCATTTGCACCTGAATATTCACTGTGATGGACCAGAGGAGCCTGGTCCGAGGGAGAGCAGCTCTTCTACCACTGTGCAAACTCTGAGTGTGCAGAGCTGGACCCAGAGCTTGTGGGGAAAGCCTGAGCTCTCCTCCCTCCTGGGTGAATCCCTGTTGTGCTCAGCTGCCTGTTGTTGTGTGTGGGTGCTCTCAGATGGTCCTGGTTAACCTAAGTGGTACCCAACAGGACAAGTGGCTCCTCTAAACCCTTTATTTCCCTCTTGGGAAAGATGTGAAACATCCTTCCTTGGTTACTGGATTACCCTCTGCTCTGGATGGGGCTTTGTGGTTCTTAAGTTTGCTTTAAATCTTTGGGTGAAGTGTTGGTTTACATCTCCTGTTTTACATTTATTTCAGATGATTGAAACTAATGATATTTCAGAAGAAAAGATAAAGATGAAGCAGACTATGGAAGGTATGAAATTATAGGTTTAACTGTTGTAGTAACTTAGGTGCTTTTTCTTCCTCTGACTTTCTGCTCTTCCAGGCACAGCTGCATTGAAGGGGCTTAGGAAGTTGTTTCGTCTCTCAGAATTTGCTGGATGGCATTTGCTGCCTGGCTTTGTTTTTTCCTTCTCATCTGGCTGAGGATATGCAGGGAGGGAAGTTTTCATTTTTATTACACACTCACTTATGCAGATGGTGCAGGTTGGAGACAGATCTGGGCAAATAAGTGCATTTCCATCCCATCACTGATTCTTACAGCAGGTAAAATTCAGACCTGAAATGTTGTTTGTTCATAGGAGTGGAGTGACAATGGTAGATATTAATGTGACTGGCTTAAAATAACAAGGGCTACTTTTTATTAAGCTTATGATAAATCAAATTACTTTTAACAAAACTTGAAATTTTATGCACTCAGAAAATTTGTATAAAGGAAATTGAAGCTGAACTGCACTTTGGTCCCCTCACAGAGGGTGAGCTGTAACCCTAAATCTGAGCAGCAGCAGGGTTGGATGGCCCAGACAGCCTCTGTCAGGATGCAGCAATTTAAACTGAGGTTACTGGGGACTTAGACTTCACTTAATAGAACCTTTGTTCAGTTTGAGTGTTCCTCCAGCTGATGGTGGATTCAAACAGAGATGTTTCGTCCTATTTCCATCTGCCCTCAGTGCAAGCCAGGCTTTGTCCATGAACCTCATCTGTCTTTGCAGGTAGTTGAATGTAGAGGACACTCGTGCTATTCCCCATCCCTGCAAGTGTCCAAGGCCAGGCTGGATGGGGCTGGGAGCAACCTGGCATAGTGGAAGGTGTCCCTGCCTGTGGCAGGGAGTTGGAACAAGATGATCATTAAGTTCCCTTCCAACCCAAACTGTTCTGTGTTTCTACACCAAACTGTTTGCTCATTGACAGGTAATTCCTGCCTAGTGATGGCAGGGCTTAACTGGTCCAGCAGCCACTGCTCTAAATGCCACAAAAGCATCAGACTTCAGATCTACAGCTCTGAGTGTGGAAATGCATTAGTTCCAGAAAACGTGTCTTTTGAAACTATCTCTGCCTTCCAGTGTAGGAGGTGAAACAAATAAATGTTCTGAAAGTTCCTTTTGGTGGTTTTTATTAATGTTTTATTCCCCCTTTTTTTCCCCTCCTTGGTGGTTGTTTTCTTAAACCTGTTTGATATGACCTCCCAGCTGTGCATCCCACCCCCAAATGCCTGGATGGTGATGAGATGCAGTGAGAAACATGTGTTACCTGTCTCCTGCTGCTTCTCTGCTGATGGAGGGTACCGTCACCGTGCCCTGTGCACCCCAACCCGAGCCACACAGTCAGTACCCCTCTGATTTGCACAAGGCATTTTCCAGCCTTCTGATCTCTGTCTTTTCATTTCCCCACAGACCTCCAAGACAAGCTGAGTAAAAGAGACAAAGAGGTGTCATCCCTGGTGTCCCAGACTGAAACTCTAAGGGCCCAAGTAAGTGGTAAGTTTCCCTAATCCAGTGTTGGTGGGAATGAGGCGTTTCCCTCCTCATCCTCTGTTACTGGTGTTGAACAAGGGCCCAGGTGCTGAAATGGTCTGGTGGGAAACATGATGCTGCTGATCTTTTAATGGATATGGTTGGTGAAAATTAATGCAGGAGTTGAACACAAACACTGCAGGAAATATTTTGTATCCTGTGAGGGAGGGTTTGGGTTCACTGAATGTCTAAAGCTAAAGAGACAGAAGTCAATGGAGCTGAGTGTTGGTTCCAGGATCTCCCCTTAAATAGGGTCAGATCCAGAACTAACCACATCTGTGCTCTTAGGAGTGGGAATTGGGAAAAGCCAAAAAGAGGGAATGTAAGTAAAGTGACCTTTCTTCCCTAAATCCTCTGCTTCTCACAGCTTTGGAAAATAAATGCAAAACAGCAGAAAAGAAGTCAGATTCAGTGTTCAAAGAAAAGAAGAGGCTGGAAGGGGAACTGGAAGCCTTGACCAAGAAGACACACGATGCTTCAGGGCAACTGGTCCTGATTAGCCAGGAGCTGCTCAAGAAGGAAAGGTCAGTGTGCAGGTCTGGAGACACAGGGGCTCTGTGTATATTCAGGTTCATTCTGGGTGCTTAATTGACCACCTGAAGAAATGCAGACATTGTTGAAGTCCAACCCCCAACTTTCCTGTTCTTTAGAGATGCCGATGTGGGAATTTGGTTAGAATTAGGGGCTGTGAATTCTCAAAGGTGACAGGCTCCACCCTGTCACTGCTTCCAGGAGCTGCAGGACAGCTCAGTGCCCATGTAGATGTTGAATGAAGTCACCTACAAGCCAGCCAAGCTCTGAAATAGTGCCCTGTGCAGGTCCCCGTTTCCTTGAAGCTGACACAGTGGGACAAGAGGGGACCTGAGCCCCTGAAGTGGTGGGAGTTGGGGAGATTTGCTCGCTGGCCTTTCTTTGCATCTGCAGCAAAGATGGGAGGGAGCACAGCAGGACTGCAGTGGTGTTTGGGCTCTAGAAATGTTTTCACCTCTTAATGCTGCTTCTTCCAGGAGCCTGAACGAGCTGAGAGCCTTGTTACTGGAGGCAAACCGGCACTCACCAGGGCCAGAGCGAGACCTCAGCCGGGAAGTGCACAAAGCTGAGTGGAGGCTGAAGGAGCAGAAGCTCAAAGATGACATCAAGGGGCTGCGAGAGAAACTGGTTGTGCTGGTGAGGGCACCACACCCCCCCCTGGGCTTGGCCTGGGGCTGGAGGACACTGTGCTGCTGGGGAGGAGGGTGGTCTGAGCCTTTCAGACCTTGCTCCAAGCCTTAGTGCCTTGTTTTGTGCTTCCCATCTGATGGGGCACATCCTTGACAGTGCCTGTGGGCAGTGGTCTGGCTTAGCAGCATCTCATTAAGCAGCAAAAATGTCTGTATGTTATAAAATCACAGAATATCCTGAGCTGGAAGGGACCCACAAGAATCATAGAGTCCAACTCCTGGCCCTGCACAGACACCCCAACAATGTCACCATCTCCCTGAGCACGTTGTCCAAATGTCCCTTGAGCTCTGGCAGCCTTGGTGCTCTGCCCACTGCCCTGGGGAGCCCGTTGAGTGTCCAACCATCTTCTGGGGGAAGAACCTTTTCCTCATATTAGCTCTCCTTGTGGGTCCCTTGCACCTCAAGATATTCTGTGATTCTAAACCCCCTGAAACAGCCGTTCCCTTGGGTCCTGTCACTTGTCAGCAGCGATCAGTTCCTACCCCTCAGTTTTCCCTTGTGAGGAAATCGTAGACAGCCACGTCCTTCTCCAGTGTTTTTCTGTTCCCAGAGGTTTTAGATCTGTGGCCAAATAGGGCTAAGATTTGTGGGAGAAACTGAAGGTCGTTCAGCTACCCCACGTGTTTTACACGTTCTCTGATCTAAGAACAAGTAACATCCTCTAATTGCCGTGTACTTCAGTGTCCTCCAGTGGCTGGAATGTGAATAACCAATTTGAATGGAGCTGGTTGCACTTGGTACGAGCCGTGCTCTGCCCCCACCTGCTGCTGCTATCTCAGGGTGGTTCTGGGAGTTATGCGGGTTTGTACTTTGAGTTTCTGTGGTCGCTGGCTTTGATCTAACGTGCTCCTCTTTCCCCCTCGCCGTCCCAGGACAAGGAGAAGTCGGTGACGGATCAGCGGCGCTACTCCCTGATCGACCCCTCGTCGGAGTCAGAGGTGATCCGGCTGCAGCACCGCCTCGTCAGCACGGAGGACGTGCTGCGCAACGCGCTGGAGCAGGGCCACCAGATGGAGAAGCTCATGGAAGCAATGAGGCTCTCCTCTGAGAAAACACAGGTAAAGGCATCAGCAGCCACCTCCCGGGTCGCTCAGCCCTCAGCAATCCCCTGGCACGTTGCCCTGTGCTCCGGGGGGATGCCTCGGCTGGGTCGCCTCCTCTCTGCTGGAGAGGTGTAGCTTAAAGCTGTAAAATCCCTGCTAGTTGGTAATCACAGATCCCTTTGTGCTCTGGAGAATGGCTGATCAACTTGGTGTTCTGGGGAAGTTGCAGTGACTTGGAATGGGCCTTATGAGGTCAGCTAACATGTCCCTGGTATTATTTTGATAGTTTCATGCTTAAGAAAACTTAAAGATATGATAGGATAGTATTATGTCTTCAACTACAATGCATGGTGCAAAGAAGCAGAGGATTACTGTGGGAAGCCAGGCTTCAAATTTCTGTTGATGTCATGTTTTGAAAGTGCTTCTTTTACAGGGAAGTCTGGATCAAAGCTGCCAAATTAAACCTCTGTCCTGTAGGGTTGACTCTGCACCTTTGTGGTTCCAGTGAGGATGGAAGCTGGGACTCCTCTAATGATGGGTTTTAAACCCTGCAGTCTTGCCTCCCCATGATGTCTGGTTTTCCTGCCATCAGCAGTTCCCCAACAACTGTGACTCTGATTTCCAAGGCCCAAACACCTGGCATCTGGAATGCTGGCACTCCAGGCTGCAGCTTTCTTTTCTTGTTTGTGCTGGCTATGCTGTCATTTTGAAGCTGAAGGGCTCCATATTATCCCTGCTAAAGAAACTTTATAAATGCTTAAAAGTTCTTGTGCTTTCTAAAGATAGAACAGCCTGTCCTGGCTGCCAGACTTGTCCCTGGAGATGGGAAGTGGCAAATGTCCTTTTCAGTGCTGGATGTTCAGTGTGCCTTCATGTTTTGCAGCTAAACACTGTTGTTTGGCTGAGGCTTTGCTTTTTGGGATTTAAGAGGTGGGAGTGAAGAGTGAGTCTGTGTCTGTAAGGATGGTGGGGATTGGGCCAGGGTGTAGAGGGCAGGAAGCTTCTTGCCAGAAGTGGGCTGGGATTTTTTTGTATCCTCCTTTCCTTGTGTGGAGTGGGCAGGTAAGGAAGGCCATGTCAGCTTTGCCAGATTTCAGTGCTTGTAGAGCAAAACCACCAGGATCTGTGTCCCTCTCCAGTAAGAACTGTCTGTTCTCCATTGCAGACTGTTGGAAATTCTGGGTCTTCTAACGGGATTCACCAGCAGGATAAATCCCACAAGCAAGAGGTAAGTTATGAGCAGGATGCTGTTCCAAACATGACTGCTTTGTGTGATTTCTTGCCCGCTGTGCTGGGGACAGCACTTGGACAGGGCAGTTCTGCCAACCAAAGCTCGACTGTGTCATTCCCACATGGAAAGGAAGAGGCTTTGCACATCTCCAGTTCCCAAGTGTGGTGGGAACCTCACAGTGGGTGCTTGCCCTGGCAGAGGCAGTGGGAAATCAGAGAAGCGCTGCAGGGTCCTGGGTAAGTGCTCTGTGACTCTTCTCCTGGCAGCCCCAGCTAGAACCTGCTCAGACTCAGATCTCTGCCATCCCCTTTACATTTGTGGGACATGCTGTCCTGCTCTCTGTTTTCATTATTCAGGACAAGATCTGTAGCTTCAGATTTCATCTCCCTGCAGGTGGGATGGGCAGTCTGAAGGAAAGGCAGTGGGTCAGGACATGGCATTCCACTCCATGCCTCAGTGTCTGCTTCCAGAAAAGACCTCTGTGCTTGTCTCATTTTGCCTGACAAGGTCTGTTTTCTTCCAGGAGAAGCTCTGATAGAGAAGAGCTGAAGAGGATCATTTCACGCCAGTATCAGCTCCTCTGCACAGTCAGGAAAAACAACACCACATCTGGCTTTTAGCACCTCCAAAAGACCACACACAGTATTTTCACTTCAAAGAAGGACAATGTTTATAATGTACTAACTGATGTAATCAGGACAATCCTGGAGTCCAGTTTTCCAAGGCAACCATTGTTCCAGGAGGGAGCAGAAGGATCTCTCTGGGTTTGGTTTCTTCCTTGTACTGGTTTTGACTGTGGAATTTGTGTTGTTTGAGCTGCCCTTGTCCCACCCGGTGACGTGGTCTGGGTGGCAGCTGCCCCGACCGGTGGCTGAAGTGTCAATGAGTCCCAGTAACCCCACAGGAGCTGCGAAGGGATTTGCTTGTAGTGTCCAACTCCAGAGTGTATGCCCAGAGGCTGCACGGCTTCCCACGGGGTCTGTCCCTTCCCTCCCACCCACCCTAATGTTCTGAGGACCTGCACAAGTGAGAGAAACCTGCTGGGATGAGGAAAACAGGGTGTGGGGACGTGTTCCCCTCCTCTCCTTGCAGAAGACATCACTGTTTTAGAGCACGGAGGCTGCACTTACTTCTTGTATCATAGCATGTTGTGGGAAATAATCCAGTTTCAGAGGAATATTTATTTTGTTTCTCCCCCCCCCCTTGCTGTTTTTGGGGAAGGAGCTGGTGGCTCTGAGTTTGGGGACAGGCACACTTTGCTCAGGTGTGGGTGACCTTTCTTCTTGCAGTGAGATCCCGTGCCACAACCTGTCCAACCTGGCCCCCCTCACTCCTTGGGGTTTTATTGGATCTGTTTTGAACTCAGGATCCACAGATGCTGGATCTCAGCATCACTGCTCTGGGAACTCCATGCTGGGGGCAGTCAGTGTGGGGCAGATGCCTTGAGGTGAAGGTTCCCCCCTTGCCTGTTTAATGTATCAGCTAATTGGGGTTTCCTGGCACTTTCCAGAGCTGTCCTTTGCTCTTCAGTGTGATTAGCTGGGATGGATGAGGTGAAGGTGCTGCTGTCAGCACTCACACTGACTCTCATATGGCCTGAGTTGTGAGTATTTGGAGCAGAGGAAATCCAAGACTGGAGCCTGCACAGCTCTCGTGTCTGTACCAGCAGTGCAGACTCAGGCAAGGATCCTGTTCCTTCTTCCCAAGGCTTTACTCTTAACTTTGGGCCACAGCTCCCAAAGGACACGAGGCCAAAGGAAGGGGACATTGTGCTCTTAGAGGTGTGAGAGAGCCCAGCTCAGGTCCACTGTTCAGTACCACAGGGAACAGTCACAGCAATATTTTACCAGGTTTCCCCCCTCTTAGTGCTCAACTCCTCCAGTCTTAGGAGCTCTTGTGTTATGATGGGGCATCTGTGAAAAGGCAGGATGGAAGACACCACTGGGAGAGGAGATTTGAACCAGACCCCAGGCAGGTGAACGCGATGGCACATCAGCTCTGTTGCTTTTCCCCCTGATTTCCCACATAGTTGTGTTGCTTATTCATAGTGGATTGCTGGACTCCTGCTTCCTGCAAGGTTGGGCAGCCAGAAGCAGCCTGGGAAAGGCTTGGGCTCCATGGCTGTGATTCTGCCATGAGGAGGATGATGCTGAATACTTGACCCTGCTCACTTGATGCAGGATTAGAGATCTCCCATCCTTCAAAGGAGGCTGAGAGAGGAAGGGGACTTAAGGGGGGAGTAAAGCGGGTCAGAAAGCAGAGCAGATACCTGGTATGTGGCACTGGGAGGCAGAGCCTGGGATCAAACTGGCTGGAAGTAATTCATGTGGGATCCCCACCCTGCCTTGTTAGGAGTGTTTCTTCAGGAAAGATTCCCTGTCTCTGCCTAGCTCTGGGAATTTCCCTAGGGTGGTCTCCAAAATCCTCCTGGTGGTATATTCATCTTTCAAGTGATTTAGGAAAGTCCCAGAGGGAGTGTTCATTTGTTACAGCCCTCAGTAGAGAATACCTCACTGGGAGCTGCTGTTTTAAATTTTAAGAATTCAGGGCTGGTGTTTCCCAAAGTGCTCCTGTTGGCTGGATGGTCTCTCAAGTCATGTCTGCAGCTCCTGTGGGCTTCCCAGGGCTTCCTGGGCCCTTGCAGAAGGGAGGCCCCTTTCTGGTTTGTAACTTATTTTCCCTGATAGGTCTTCTAGAGACTTTGTGACCAGCTGCCTTCACCCATCGAGGAAGGATACCTGTGTTTTCCACCTCCCTTTGGCTCTTGCACAGGGCAGGATTCCCCAGGAGTGGTTATGGGGAGCGTGTATTTGGTTCTGTTAATCAGATCCAAAGTTGTCAGGCTGGAGGAGTCTCTGGTTCCTGCCTCCTCCCCCAGGGACCATCACCTGAGAGCAGCTCAGACCCGTGGCTTTTCCTGTTCAGCTTGGGTGACAGTGCAGAACAGCAGCAGGTGGGTCAGAGCATCTGCTCTGAGTTTGTGCTGATGGTCTTTCCTGGCTGTAAAGAGCTGTACTGGTCCCTAAGGATCAGCCAGGAGCTGATGGCACTGCTTGGCCCTCTGTGGAGGCTGTGTGGTTGTTCTGTTGCAGGGCTGTACCCAAATGGGCAGTGGGGTGAAACCCCCAATTCCCTTGGGGTGCAGGTCCATGGGAGCTGCTCCCAAATAGGACCAGCCACAATAACAAGAGGACATGCTGTCACACGTGTCACCTGGGCTTCAACTCAACCCTGTGTAAAGGACCAGGAGGAGTTAGACCTCAGTCATGTCCTCCCTCTCCAAAATTGGCACAGGCTTCCCCAGGGCACTGATCTCTGGCTGCCCTTCTGAGGTTGTAAGAGACCAAACTAGGGACAGACTTGGAAAGGACAAGGAGGAGATTCCCCAGCCCCTCTATTTATTTGTAAGTTTGAGTGCTATTTTTGCCTATGTGGTGGTGTATAAAGTACTTCACAATACTTGTTCTTACTGGCTTGGTTCTTCGGGAGAGATTTCCAAGGGCATTGGAGCGCTGATGCACCATCCCCTGTTGTCGATCCGGGCTGGTTCCTGTTTGTGCCTTCACTCCCCCTTTGGCTTCAGCCTTGCTCTTATCTCGATCCCCGAGAGCTGGTGTGGGGGCTGCGCTCTCCCCAGCCCTTCTCCCAGCCTGGGAGTGCCATGCTGGTTTTCCATCTGGAGCTGGGTCCCGAGCATCGTGCCCCAGAGCTGCAGGGTTGGGAGCAGGAGGTCACGCACTGCTGGAGCTCTGGGCTCCGAGGGAAGGACCAGCACCCCGGCTGTGGGAGCAGCCCCAGGGCCAGTGGCATTACCCTGACAGTTAGTGATGCTTTTCTGCTGAAAGCTGAGCTGCTATCCAGTGGAAAAAAAGCCTTTGGAATGGAGACTGCTCTGTGTTAAGTGATTTCTTCTCTAACTCAAGACCAAAGGGAAAAGAATCAGTCTTGCTTGGGGATCTCAGCTTTATCCCTCCTGCAGCATCCAGAGAGCTGGAGCAAGGGGCAACTCTGTGCTTGTGCCCTATGGAATGATGGTGCCAGGCTGCCAGCCAAGGCCTTACAGCTCCTGCCTCCACCCCCCAGCCACCAGCAGCTCCTCTGGCTTGCAGTAGAGATGCATGAGGGTTTCATTAAACAAAATGATGCAAACGACACTGTAAAAGTCTTAACAAAAATCCCAGTACTCCATTATTTGGCAGCTTTAGCGGCTCAGCACTATCTGTAGGGAGTTAATACACTAAGATCCTATAGGCCTCATGTAAGTTACCAGAATAAAGACAATACTAGATGTATAAATGGATGATAACCTTTTACCCGTACAGTATGTATTACAATTTTGTAGCTTAGTCATTTTTTGGCTATCAGATTTTGTTAGTATGATATAAAAAAAAAAAAAAAAAGAAAAAAAAAGGTTTGACTGCTAATGTCTATTTTGTTATTTGATTCATTTTCTTCCTCTGTACAAAAGCTGTACAAATCTGTCTGTGTAACTCTTCCGCATCTGTATTCATGTACCACCCCCCTATCCTGGCTTGCTGGTGTGGTGAGCTCGTACTAAACAATAAACTCTGTGGCTGAAGTCGGGCACCCCAGGGCTGCTGGGGTGTGTTCAGGGTGTTCTGCGGAGCAGGAGCTGGAAGAGGGGACACAGGGCTGTGGCACTGTCCCCCTTGCCCTGAGCCACAACAGTGACCTTGAACCATCTGTCTTCAGGCTCTGCAGCTGCCTGGGAGCAGATGAGGCTGAAACCGTTTCCAGCACGGCTGTAGGACAAGAGGGGCTTTGGGGCCTGTGTGAAATTCCGAAGGGCAAGGCATGCATTCCCACCGGAGAATGAGGCTGCAACTGAGGGACCCCGGCGGCAGAAATGGGCAGATGGAGCCTCCTCAAGTTCAGTCAAGGGACATGCAGAGTCCGGCCCCTGGGCAGAATAGGGGTGCCCGGCTGGAAAGCAGCTCTGCAGAGGGGGCCGCAGAGGGACGGCTGGGCAAGGGGCTGCCCGCCCCCGGCGAGAGGAAACCCTCGGGGCCAGCCCCTGCTGCTGCTCCTCGAGAAAGGGAGGACAGGACGAAGCTTGAAATGGGCCAGTGTTGAGATGAAGGCACTCAAGTTCTGGCCGTGGGGCACGATGTGCTCAGCCTGGTGGCAGAGAGAGAGGAGGGAGCAGAAAGGTTGAGGAGCATCAGGGAGCCTGAGGAAGAGAGAGGCTGATGGGACCAGGCTCTGTCTGCATTTTGAAGCATTTTTTTATCAACCTAATAAAACAAAAAAATCATCTTTCGGAGGTTAATTTTAGCAGACTTCTGTGTCTGCTGAAGAGATGTCTCCTGTTGAGTGCTGGGTGCTCAGTCCTGTCTGGCTGCTTGGGATAGGTGAAGTCTAGCAGGACTGGAGTGTTCAGGCAAGCTCCGGTGCCCAGGAGATGTGCTTGGGCTTGTGGGTCTTGGCTGGTCGTTCCTCCTGTGAGGTGGAAGGGCCTGGAGGCAAGAGGCAATGGTGAGCTCCCACTTCCCAGGGGCAGCCCCCAGCTGGGGCAGCGCTGCCAGCCCAGGACGTGTCAGGTAGCAGGGCCACCTGCCTGTCCAGAGAGCCCCAGGTTGGGGGTGCTGGTCCCCACCCACCAGCACACAAGCTGTTATCCCACACTGACCAGGGCCATCCCCACACCTTGCTCCACCTCCAACCCCAGTCACCCCATCAGCCAGTCCTCTTGCTCCATCCTGCTTCTGCCTGCTCATCCCAGCCTCCTCCCCAACATACAACCAGTCCTCTCCCCCTCTGGTCTTGTGCCCTGACAGGGCCATACCCATCTCATCCTGTGCCCTGTCCATCACAGGAGGTTGGTCCTTCTGGCCCTTAGAGATGTGGCTACTGCTGCCCACCAGCTTGGTCACACTAGGCTGGGAAGGAGAGAGCAGCTGGTTGCAACACGGGGCCCAGTTCAGCCTCCCCCAGCAGCCCTCCTAACCCAGCTCTCCCCTGGGTGACTGAAGTCACAGATTGCCCCAGAATATTCAGCCTTACCCTTTCAGCCTCAGTCACACCTGCTGTGTCTGTGCCTTCCCTACCTTGTTGGGGAGTGCCACGAGGCCCTGTGTCCGTGTGTTGTTCCAGGGGGAAGCCTGGATGTGCTGCACCAAGTGCAGCTGATGGTCCCCACTGCTCTGTGGCACTCGGGTGATCCTGCCCCTGGCCACTGTTCTCCTGTGGGATGGGTTTGGGACTGATCAGTGCTCAGCACAGGGCACTGCAAAGAGGGCTGTAAAACCCTCTAGACCTCGGGCAAGCACTGGTTCTCCACATTCCGCCCTCTGCTCCCCTGCACAGCCCAGGCCCGCTGGTCTCCTCTACCCCCACACAGGCAGGAGCTCTCCTTGCTAGGGCAGAGCTATCCTGTAACACTGCAAGTCTGGCATGTGTCCTCAGGTCCCCTACCTTGGGGTGTGCTGTGTGTCCTTGCTGGGAGGCATTGGCTGGAAATATGGGAATCTTTCAGGGTACCTAGGGAGAGCAGAAGCCACAGGTGGGTGACAGGGGACAAACAACCCACGATTGCTCGGGCCCCCAAACACCACAGGCTTGTGCCCAACGGCACCCCTTGCTGCAGCCCTTGGGGTTGAGCCTCCAACCCCTTCTTGATGGGCAGGGCTGAGGAGGGGGCTCAGCAGAGTCAGACCCTCCCAAGCTGACACCCTCACCCCTGTGCCTGGCACAGCAGGTCACCCCTGGCACCCATTGCCCCCATCCCACTGACGCAGCCCCCCCCGAAGCAGAGCTGATACTCACGGGCCAGGAACCTGCGTTTTGACTGTGCGGTCACAGGACAGGCACGTGAAAGGGACTGGCAGCTGCCTAAGGAGGGGAGAGACAAGGGCTGGGTGAGCTCCTGGGGGGCCACAGCTTCATCAGCATCGCACCGGTTCGTTTGGCAGCTACATTGGTGCAGTGCCAGGGTAGCACATGGGCAGAGTCTGGGACAGCTGGAGGGAACAAGACCATGGTTGTCCCCAAAGCCATTGCCATCCCCATCCCACTCACTTCCTCAACCCAGCAGCGCTGTCTTTCATCATCTTCTTCTCAAGCTCCTTGATGCTCTTCTGCCAGGTCTCCTCCATCTGCTTATGGAAATCCTTCAGCTCCTGGCGATCCAGCTGTGGACAGGTGCACACCCTCAGCCAGCTGCCCCGGCATGGGACATGGCTGTCTCCAGGGAAAATCCATGGGGGACCCTCATCAGAGAGATGCTGCCTGAGGCTGCCAAGCCCCAAAGGTGCCAGTTTTGCACAATGGGGACGAGCCACTCCTCACCTTGTTTTCCACTGTGAGGCTGAGATGCTGCTGCACCTTGTTCCAGTGCTGATTCTGCCCCAACACCTGGCTCTGCATCTTCCGCAGCCTCTCATCCAGCCGCTCCATGCTCGCCTCAAACTGGGTGCAATTGACTTTGCTGCCCAAGGCTTTTTTGTCTGCTTTTTGGCAGAGGAGAAAGGCAGGAGTGAAGAGGGGAAAGGGTTGAGGAATGGCAGGCAGGGGCAGGGCGTCTCAAACGGAGAAGCACTCCCTTCGTGCCATCGTGCCCCTTTCAGGGCAGGGACCTGCACTTGCTCTGGAAATCCTCCCTCTCCCAGGCCACTTCTGCCACCAAGCCCCCAAGGGAAAAGGGGCCTTTGTCACCCTGCCCAGGGAGCCCTGGGCTGGTACAGAAGCCCCTCAAGACTCTACCACGTCCATTGCTGCCAACACTTTGTGCTCATCTGCTTTTTCCTTCTTCAGCCTCTCCTGGGACTGGAACAGCATCTTTCAACACAGAAAGCAGCCCGTGAATCCACAGCAGGGGTGGAGCTGCCCCCTGGCCATCTTGGCACCCCCTGCTCCTCTACCCAAAGTCCTCTGGGAAGGGCCCTTGCAACCCACTCAGAGCTGTGAGACAGATGCCTTGTGGTGCCCTGCCTGGAGTCTGCCTGGGGGATGCTCTGAGCCCACAGGACTTTCAGTCACACACCTCAATATCTTTCTGCTTTTGCTCACAGTCCTTCTGGAGGCTCACTGAGACCAAGCTGAGCTCCTCACAGTCCCCCTGAATCTTCTTGACCCTGTTCTCCATGTGCTGCAGCAGCTGCTGGTC